AAGTCTTGTGCTCATAGATCCACCTTTTCTGTCAAGCTACTCCCAAACCAAAATCTTGGTTTCCTGCTTGGCAATCAAATTAAAAAATCAAACTAAGAAGAGACTTCCTTCCTTTTCCCCTTGGTATTTTTCCACCGTATTGACAACTGCATTTGACAAACAACATTAAGTAAACTTCAAGACTGTATCAGCTACCTGTTCTTAATAATGAGGGGGAAATCAGGCAAGTCAGACCAAGACATGAACTGGTTGGGAATCAAAACAAAATTGACAGTCTTATCAAAAACCATCCACAGCTCTGTATTCTCTCTCGGCTGCTGGGTGTTGCCCACTGATTAATGTGTCGCTGCGTAACACACGGGCTGCTGGGCTGTGACACGTGCAGGGAGGCAGTTTACTGTCTCTGTGCAGCCCTGAGGCCTGACTTGGTGCCTGTACAGGATGGAGCTGCTCCGATGGGAGGAGGCGGCTGGAGCTGGATGGAGCAGGCTTCTCTGTGCTGGCTCCAGCTACACGCCTGCAATAGCTTGAGGTAACCTTGGATCTCTGGCATTGTTGACTCTGGTTATCAGCGACCTTGTTGGGTAATAAGGATGTGCAGCAATAACTGCATTTACCTTCAGGTTAAAAGAACTGGTGCTATTCTCCACCCAGAACAGTAATGGGAAGGTTTAGTGATAGAGTGAAACCAAATGTTGGTACAGTTTCAGTCTCATCTGACCTGGGGTGAATGGTTCACGGCCTTGCCAAGGCTGCCCCATGGCAGCACTTCCCAGCTGCTGCTAATCACCATGGTGACTGATTGGGATCAGTTCCCCAAGCAGGTATTTTGCTTTTACAGTAACTTCCATAAGCCTGAGAGAGACACCTCATGCTCTCATACCTCAGTGGTAATAATTCAATGCACAATAAAGAAAAGGATAAATCTACAAATGGGCTGCCAGGCGTTTTCTTTTACCAGTGTACAAAATTCTTCAAAGGTAGCAGTATCTGTTGGGGGCCCCACAGCTGGACACAGACATGACCTGGAGTATTGTGTCCATCTCTGGAGTCCCCAGTACAAGAAAGACCTGGACCTGTTGGAATGAGTCCAAAGAAGGGCCATTAAGTTGATCACAGGGCTGAAACACCTGTCCTGTGAAGAGTTGGGGCTGTTCAGCCTGGAAAAGAGAAGGCTCCAGGAAGACCTTATAACACCTTCCAGTACCTCAAAGGGGGGCTACAGTGATGCTGGAGAGGGACTTTTCACAGGGTCATGTAGTGACAGGACAAAGGGGAATGGCCTTAAGCTGTAAAGGGCAGGTTTAGGTCACATATTTGGAAGAAGTTCTATACTGTAAGGGTGGTGAGACACTGGAACAGATTGCCCAAAGTTATGGCTGCCACATCCCTGGAAGTGTTCAAGGCCAGGCTGGATGGCACTCTGAGTAACCTGGTCTAGTGGAATATTCCAATTCCCTGCCCACAGAAGGGGGTTTGGAACTAGATGATCTTTAAGGTCCCTTCCAACCCCAACCCCTTGATGATTCTGTGAACACTAATTAGGAAATAGCAAGATGCAGCAAGTCTGCAATAATGTACAGCATATTATAATATCTTAAGTGACATGAGACACATGAAATGAGATACCTGTGGCCTTTCTAACACAGGAAAAATACTACTAAATGTACCTGTGAATGCAGTTTTTCACAGACTCCAAGGAATAGTTGGTAGATGGATGTTTGGAAGTAGGCATTTTTCATTATAATCCCATGTTTGAAATATGCTGACTTTAGAAATATATTATAAAATTAGTTTCAGGAGAATAAACCTAGCAGAGATAATAGATGCTTGTTTCCTTTATAGGAATCCCTCAATTATGAAAATGTGACAAATAGGTAATACCTCTAGGTTGACTTTAATTAACATATGTTTAAAATGAATGTAAAATATGTCCCTTTCTCAGTTAGACAAAAATCACACAGGTACTCAAACACTAAAATACATCTCTGGCTTTGAAATTATTGTTGTCTTTCTACAGCAGCTTCTTGAAAATGTCATGTGAGATTAGATCTGTACTCCGTTGTGTTGGTAAGCGTACAAACCCCCTGCAAAGGGCGGTCTTTGTTCCAAGAGCTCAGGCAAGGTTTTCAAAGACAACTGCTCATTTGTGATACCTTTTATAAAGATCTTACTTTCAGAAAGAACTGGATATGTACTGTTAGAAGACCAGAGTCCTCAGAGGAGTCTCCAGCTGGGCACCCAAAATTATATAGGTAATGAGGAAGAATAAGTGCTTCTAAAATGCTGTCCTCAAAAGACAAAGTGAGAAGAGTAGAAACAGGATAGATGACCACTAAATCCTCAGTTTGCTTGCTCTAAATAAAGAGCCTGACAGAATTGCCACTATTCCCTTGCTCAGTGTTGCCAGTTGTATCCAGACACCTCTGCTACGTGTCCTGCCTGACTCAAAGTGGTTGTGTTCCCTCTGCAGTGTGGACAGAGCTCAAGTTGGGATCGTCCCATTTCTCCTCATTCACGAGTTTCTATCTGAAGGGCCAGCTGACTCATTTCAAACTTAAGTACAAGTAGAAGCTGATGGCTGAGACAATGTGGATGATTGGAGAATTTCAGCGTGAGTGCAATCCTGAGGCCTGACCTGATATAATGAGCCAGTTCGCCCATTTTATTTTAGTCTTGCAACTCTGTGGCTAGGCAAGGTATTTTCCATTGCTTGGGAGAGCTTTTTAAATTTTCCCTTCTTTGCAGCAGATAAGCTCAAAAAAAGTCCTGTTTCTCCTTTGTGAGAAGGATCTCTGTTGATGCTACACAGATAGGAGACATCCTGTAGTTCACCTGGAATCAAACAAATTTGAGATGAGGTACCAGTTTGCTTCTCTCCAAGTTTAAAACCTCCCCACAGATTTTCCCTTTACCTTCAAACCTGCTTAATGTCACCATTGCTTTCTTTTCTGTCCTGGAGGACACAGTCAGTTATCTGTCTAGACTAGCTGAAGGCTCAAAACCTTTGCTTTATTCTGTGGAATTAAACGGTTGCTTGGTCCCAAATGTGAGTCTTTCTCAGATACCTACTGACATGGGTATCTCATGTAGAAGGTGGTAGTAGAGAACCTGGAGATTAAAAGCAAAGCAGCTATAAAAACAAATGAAGAATAGCACTGTAATCAGGTAAATATGCCCACATAAGGAGGGAAATAACTGAGCAGACTGGTTGTTATTGCTCCTCTATTTCATAGGGGATATTTACACTGAGGGGTCAAGTGTTCATGGCAGGGTGTGGGTGGGTTTTTTTAGTCTTATGTAACACATACTGATTTATCATCCCATCCTTTGCCTGCTTGATCAGACCTTCATGTCCATTGCTACAAGAGTTTGGGGTTGGGAGAAGCAAATATGGGCAAAGTGACAGCTTGGCAGAGCCAGTTAGCCCACACTGCACAGAGAAGAGCCCACCAGGCATGATTTTGAAGGAGTGAGAAGCAGAAATCCGCTGCCAGCCTGAGTTTCAGCTGATGTGAATGCTGCCTTGGCAGCATCAGTATCCCATTAGCTTCACAACTTGGAATCTGTCCCAAAAACCAGCTCTTCCCACACATACAGACACATACTTTCAAGAAAAAAGCAGGATATCGCTGGAAAGGGTGCAAAACCCACCCTGGTGAGTCCCATCCCAGCACTGCCCTGGGCAGAGATGGGGTCCATGAAACTGGTGATGGGCGAGGGCTGTGTAAGAAACAAAGCTGCGTCCCAGAACATTTTAGTGGTGGACTTGGCAGTGCTGGGTTAAGGGTTGGACTTGATAATTGTGAAGGTCTTTTCCAACATAAATGATTCCATGATTCTATGAAATAACATGGTGAACTTGTCTCTGCATGGCTCCTTGGCCCCAGAGGCCTGAGCCTGTGATGGGTTTACATGCATTTACGTGCTACGGAGTGAATAAACAACTGAATGTGCTTCAGCCTGAGCAGTCCTGCATGGGCACTTGTCTCCTGTTCAGAGAGGCAGAAGGGGGAGCACAAATCCCCATCAGAAAAAATGTACAATCATAAAAATATTTAGGTTGGGAGAGGCTTCAGGAGATGGTTTCAGTCAACTGTCCTCAGAGCAGGGCCACGTTAGGTTGTGTAGGGCCTCGTCTGGTTGAGTTGCAAATATCTCCATAAGTGGAGGTCCCACAGCCTAGTCAGGTAACTTGTTCCAAAATTTAACCACTCTTACTAGGAAGATTTTTTTCCTTGCATCTGACTGGAAACTCTCTTGTTGCATCTTATGTCCATTGCCTCTTGTCCTTTTGCTGTATTCCTCAAAGAAAAGTTTGGGTGAAGAGGAGGAGAAATTACAAGTAACCTCCACATTCTCTTCCTTTATGGAGTGATCATGTTACACCTTTGCAAGGGCTTTCAGCACAGAATAGCAGCCACCAACATTGAATGTACTGAACTGCTTTTAGCAGAGAAAAAAGAAACTCTCTGCAACCCCCCTCATTATCTTATGGGTTCTGAAGGGAGGAAGGATGTGGGTGAGCTGTTTTCACATCTTGTACACACCAGTGGCCAATTCTCACCATCCTGACCAGCAGAAATGGTCAGGGAATATTAAATCCTACTTGGGCATTTGGCAGAGCCTTTCCAGCATTTGGCTATCAAGCCTTCAGTAGTTAATGCAAATCCAACCAAACAGAAGAGCCTGCTCTGTGGGACTCGGACTACAGGAAGAGTAAGCAGTGCTTTCACATGAGGCAATAAAATTCAAGTAGGATTTGTTAAATCATGCAAATGATTGCTAGTGTGCACTTTATATTTATCTAAAAAATTGATTAAGCACTGAGTTTTTTGGTTGGTGAGTAAAGTTGATTAAAAAAAAGTACTAGGGTCACAATATATATTCTAGGAGTACATTTACTAAGCTCAAACCTGACTTTTTTAATTTTTGGTGAAATACATGATAATGTTCTATACTCACTATCTGGTTTTGAATTCCTCTTTTGTTTCTTACAGCCCCAGCAGAGAGCTCTCCATAAACATTTCCAGCCTCTAAAGCTGCTGTCCTGCCACTTGATATGAAAGTGAACTTTCCTTCATGAAAAAACCACAATAAATGGCGCTGCCAGAAAATGACCATGGAGGATTGAAGACAAACTTGAAGTAAAATCAGCAGACTCAGATGATGCATTCTGGGAAGACCTGGTTTGCTGTGGAGTAAAAACGTGGTGCAAAATATCCAGTGCTAATTTGTTGAAAATGGTCATTTACAGACCTTTAGCTGGAAAATTTCTTCCAGTTTTCATCACTGTGCATAACTTTTGAGTTCCCTTTAGGGGACTGTCTATGCCCTTCACTAGAAGTCCTGTTTTAGCATGGCAACTACTGGATTCTTTTATTATGTATGCAGATGGCATGATGTTTTAGGAAAAACTTACAGCAATTCTCCAATCTCAGTGGATATGTTCACAATATTACACCCTGATAGGAATGTAAACGTCTTGTATGTGTTAGTTTTGCAGTCTAATGGTATTCTGTTAAACAATATCAGCACTTCATATGTGCTTTCCTCACAGAACTAGCACAGTCCATATATATATATATATATATAATGGTCTTTTTTTAAAATACTGAGGATATGTTTCAGTATTTGTGCTGAGACTGCATCCAAACTGAAGCCCACTACTATCATCCCTTCACCAATTCACATTAGATTGTGTAGATAGATTTGCACGTGGCAGAGATGTGACTTCTTTTATCAAGACTTAGAGAACAGCTGTCACAGAGGTAGCCAAGAACAGGGTAGGTTGAATGAGCTGTAGAACGCTGGGTCTGCTCTCCCTCTAATCCACCACATATCAAAGGTTCTCATTTCTAGTGTGCCAATGTGTTTTCTTACTCAGAGAGGGAGAGGCAAGGAGAGAGCCTTTCTCAGAAATGTGTGTGACCCTGGGTTTGGTCTACAGTAAAACCAGAATAAACTGGAAGAATTCAGGTTCTTTATGCTGGCCACCATTTATGTTTTGGGCAGGGCTGGGGAATCATAGTCCAAACCAAACTCTCTGAAAAAGGTAAAGTGTAAGATTATACTTCTGAGGAGCAAGACACTCCCTTTGGAGAGGGCAGACTTCTTCATTAACTTTTTCCACTTTCTATCCAAAACAGTATTTTGGTAGGAACTGGGAATAAGCAAATGGTTCCAATAAGCCTTTCAATATACTGTAGCAGGCTCAAGACTGTTACATTCAATCTGAACATTGTTTTCTGTTCAGTCTCTGAATGGCTGGTCTCATCACTGGTTGTATCACAGCTGGCTGTGGTACTGTTTCTTCAATGGGGACTCAGTTGAATTAATGTCTGTCCCTCACATCAGGACCTTCGTGACATTATCTTTATAATGAACTGATGTCATCAACATACTGAGGGGGCTTATCTATTTGTTCCTTCTTTCTTTGAAATCAAAAGTAGCTTTATTTAAAGACTGTCACTCTCTCCAGCCTGATAGACAGGTACTATACAGTTGCTGTTAACATTTATTCCAAATTGGGTGAGACACAATACTGGTGTGAAGATGCAGTGATGGAGAGAGTGTGCAGCTGGAGTCATGGCTGGGCTTCGTGAACGAAGATTTGGGAAGGCTCTATCCACATTTGCTACAGGCACGCTGGTGGCTTATGAGGCCAATACGTGACAGACAAATCCAATTGCAATCGGATTTCCAGCCAGAGTAAATCAAAGGCAACTTTCTAGAGGAAGCTCCTGTGTTAAAATTCTTAAAAACTGTTGTGCAGTTCATTGCTAGAGAATGGAAGGTCAACCACTGAGGGTGCCTGTACAACAAACAGATAATTATCTTCAGGGTTTAATTTTTTTCAGATGGTTATGGGCTTAGGTTTCAGCTCTCCACCCATCTCAGATTCAGCATGTTGGATACTTCTACAGTATTCAATCCAAAAGAAAATTATTTTTACTGATGACCAGGATTTTCAGAAGTCAATAGTGATTTCTGATGGTTTGGGTCTTTCCAAATAGAGCTCCCAAGAATTAAAAAGCAGTAAAATTCTACATTTTCTTTCTGAAAATCCTAGTCCCTAATTTTAAATTAATTGGTGTAAAAATTCTCCTTAAGACATGAGAATCTTTGCCAACAGCGACATTTGCACTTTTTAGAACTTTTCATAGGGTTGCAGGTTGGAATCTGATACCAGTAGAGCCTGTCTTGCAAATGGCACAGGTCCACTGTAAGCTTCAGCGAATTTTACAGCTCTTTCTGCTACAGGTTTTAAAAATGCACTCTGGCAACTGACATCAATTTCATGTTGGTACAGCAATTAAAAAATAAAACACTTTGATTGATATGTTATATTAAAAGGAGAATGCTTTACTTCCACAGTAGGAATTCTCTTATTTCACTACCCAGTGAAAAAATCCAGAATAATTAGAATGATAAAAGAAGAGTTTATCAGAGAGTGTTATCTTAAAAGGGCGTATGAGAAGAAGTTGCGTTAGGCAGAGAGCCACTAGAAGCTTTTTTTGTATCAATGTTAGTTTTGAACATCTTCCAGTATATGGGCATGAATTTAGATGTGTGCACTTCTTCTGTTAAAACAGTTTGTTTTAAAAGCTTCCCAGGATTTTAGCTATGGTGACCTAGAAAAGCAGTGTTATAGGCCCTGAGAAATGTGAAAATCAAGTCCAGATCCTTGAGTAGCCAGACTCAGTGAGAAGTCTGCTGTAGGTGCCTATCGGACAAATCTTTTTTGAAGCTGGTGTAGGTCTCCATCCTGCAGCCAGCCTATGCATGTGGATAACTGCAAGCATAGTTCCCCCGAGCCCCGTGACACTTCTCACGTGTGTAACTGTCTGCCAGAGCCATAAGGAAATAACTGTACTTTTTGGCTTGTATTTAACTATTCATTGTGTTTGGATTTTTTTCATCACTGTTATTCTCCCAAAGTAGGCCATGCTTCCTCAGGGATATTTATGGAATTGTTCTACATCTCCTGAACAACTATCTGGATCCCAGCGTATTCTTCTGAAAACTTTTTAATATAAATAAACACGTGGGAGAGATTTTTGTTGTTATGAATGGGGGCAGGTACTGTGTTCTCGGAAAAGCTATTGAGTGCAGACAATCAAGTCTATTGCATTTTTTATGCTGAACACCTTATTAATAGCAGACATATCCGCTTTTGCCTGGGTCATAGGAACAGTTCAGGGGAAAGAATGCTTTATCTCCAGTCAATAAATCATTTATGTCGAGAGTGCCAAAGACCAAGTCAACATGAAAGGGAGCAAATAAGTTATTCCGACAAAGGAAGTCAATTTAAATATGTTCAGAGCCATTAGTTTGGTGCGAAAGAGTGGGAGACTAATGCTATTTTCATCAAGCAGCCATTATCAGCCCTGTGGAGATAGATAAATTCACAAAGGCCAATGCTGCTGTTACATTGATCACTAGTTATTATCTCTGAGACAAGGCAGTGCTGCCATCAGGACACTGTTCCCCTGTGCAGACCTGCAGCCTCCTCCTCTCCCTGGCGCCACACTTGCCTGTTTTTTTTTGTGTCCAGAAAAGTTGCAGCATCAGACCCCACTATGAATCCCTGACAGAAGTGCAGCCTTTCCAAGTGCTTCGAACCATGAGAAGTCCTCCACCAGAAACCTGAAGGAATTGCTCACTCCAGAAAGCATGCTGCAGCTGAAGGCATCCTTTGCACTGTTTTGTTCCTTGTTTTTTTTATCTGTGTGGCTTTCTGTGCCTGAACACCCACTGTTTATTCTGTTAAGGGAAATTCAGCCTTCAAGGAGGGGAGTTTGAAAAAGCTCCACAAGCTCTTTGATTTTGCTTGCCCAGATGCGTGGTAATGCTGTACCAGTAAGTTCATCCCTCCCTGTCTGTTCTTTAAGGGTAAGTGTTGTCGCTTGGCAACAGATGTAACGTTATTGAGGAAATGAAACCATTAAAAGTTATACAATTCTGTTTTGGTTTTGCCCTTAACTTTCAGAAGACTCCAGGCCAGGCCCCGGTGGACTCACATTGGTGCTACTCCATCAGTGTCTCCACAAATGTGTCTGTCAGTGCCAGCCATGGATCCAGGACTGGGGTGGATTTTTTTGTCATCGCCAAAATGAACCTCCCTCCATCAGCCACAAAGCCACAAAATCTGTGTTATTCAAAGTAAAGCAAAGTAAAACCCTGAATCTTTCACATTGGTCCCCTTTAACAGTTGCCATCTCTGCCATCCTTGAATAGCCCCACTGCAGGACTGTGCTGCAATTGACCCTGGTATATATAGGCTGTGGTCAATAAGATTTTAATTTAAAAAGAGAAAGTCCTTTGGTATAATTAAAATTGATGGGTGAGGGGAAATTATTACCAGCATTACCTGCAACCTCCTATAGTAAAATTCAGGAAAGTAATCTGGAGTGCATAAAAAGCCACCAACATAATGTATGGGTGATTAGGCAGGCTCATGAGGATAAATCAGCAAGGAAGAAAAGTAGATGTTTAATGAAGGAAGCAAAAAAAAGTATGGGAAGTCAGTGGCAAATAGGTTAGGGTTGGTTAGACCAAAGGCTTTACACATATACTAATAAATACCATCATAGCAAAGCTAAGTCTGGTGTTAGACAGGCCCAGCACAGTGATTGTTCACAGTACATTGAAAACCCAACAAATAGTCGTGTTTTGTATTTGAAAGCAGTAGAAGGAGGGAGTCAAATTACCCATTAAAATGTAATTCCTCCTATTCCATCAGCAATTACGGGTAATATTAAGCAGCAACTATCCAAACATAATTTTAAATTTGTAGAATCATTAGCTGAATCCAAAAATGAAGGAAAACTTGACTAGGACTCTTCAGAACCAGAAAGCATAAAAGAAACTTCAAATGACACCAAAACCACAATAATTCAAAAGAATGAGAAGTTTGATCCAGAAAACTATAGGCTCATTAGCTTCCTATCAGTCTTAGGCAAAGTCATGGAAAAGTTGATATAGCATAATCATTAAAGCAATTAAAACTTGATAAAACCCCCTCCAAATTGAGAAGCATGGGGAGTATATCTGGAATGATACAGTGGCTGCAAAGGTGCAGTAAGTAATCCATTCAACATCAGCCCCAGAGATGTTCTTGCCAGCTGGGATATAGGACCTGGCAATAGTGATGCTATTCCAGTTCATTTGGTTACTATCAGTCTTTCAAAAAGGGTATTGACAACTTGGAAAGATTATTTTCAATAGCTCCCAGTGTCATTCAAGGGCAGGAAAACAGGTCTTATTATAGTGTCAGACTAATGAAGCTCAAGCTATTAATTTATCAGAGGCAATTTGAAGAGGTGACTTGATCTCTGTCTGCAATCACAATCTTCTACCTGGGCAGGGAAGTGGTGTCTGAGGGCAGGTACCTCTTCTGTTTAGAAGAAAAGGGAATGATGTGCTCTACTGGTTGGAAACTGATTTCAGGCTAGAAATTAAGTGCAAATACTCAACAGGGAGGATAATTACTCGTGGAGACAACTTACTTAGTTATCTGGCATGTTCTCCATCCCATGAAGTCTTTAAATGTATGCAAAGTATTTTTCTAAGTCAATAAGCTCTACCTCAAACTGAAATCCAGGCTCGGTGCGGCAATTACTGGATGAAGTCATTAGGCATATGTTATGCAAGGATTAGACTAGATCATCAGATGTAATTTATGAATTAAAAATACCTTGAAGTTTCCAATATTACAAGAAGGCAGGGCAACCTATATCAGGTTTTTGGTTTTTTTTTTTCACAAAATGGTCTTAATTTAAACAGCTTTTATGAAGAGCTGTGCTTGCTAACATTTGGTACGAGCATGAGTAGGTCTGCTCACAGTTGTAAGGTTCTGCTGCACATAATTAAAGGAAAAGAACTGGACAAGAAAGGACAACAGAATCCTTGGACACACTGAGAAAGTCTGTTGCCTTTCATTAATAGCAGCCTGGGATAAAATGCTGC